ATTTAACGCCTGGATTTTTCACCAATTCAACCTTCTCCGGTTGCACGATCAACATCAACAACATGCCGGACTGCAAATATAACTCTGGCCTGATTACTGCGGGCTTCCGTTGAGTGCGTGCGCCGGATAAAGGTCGCAATAAAATCGGAAAATGTTTTACGACACTTGATTAGTTACTTACAAAATGTCATTTGTTACTATTTATGAATCGAGAATATGATATATATATATAAATCAAAATCAAATGAATTATTAACGAAAGTTGCGGAGTCTTTTCAATTTTGTATGGGAAATAGCGCATGACGTCAGCTGTTATCTTTGTGCCGTTCTAGATACTGACCTGACCTGACGGTAATAAGCGGGAAATTTGAAATTTGGAAAAGACATATTTTGTTTTGGCGAATTCTTATTATGGAAATATAAATATAAGCAATAAACTGCATAGATGTGGCAGACCAACTGGTATAACTACCACATGTGTCACAGACAAACTTATCATGGTGCGCGCTAGCGCACCATTCAGTTTGTCTGTGACACATGTGGCAGTTATACCAGTTGGTCTGCCACATCTATGCAGTTCATTGCTTAAATATTACGAGGCAATAACTGCAAACGAACAATACGTACATATTATATTTAATAGATGTACCTTATGAATGTTTGGTTGTTCATATGAGGACGAGTAGTTAAGGACACACCGCCTGAAACAGAAAGTAGATAGAAGATACACATGCAGTGGGGTACATATACAGTTTTCTTATATCTCCAAACTATTTATTCGTGTAACATCCAAAATTGAAACCAACAATTTTTCCTCTGCATTTACAATCATTCATTTCCCGTTCAATAGCGTCTGTAAACTGTTAACGGAAGATGAGGTGATATATCCCCCTTCCGGTTTGAAAAGGGTTATATTACGGAATATGGCACGTTGAGAACCTCATGTACACCTATATACGTCTACAAGTAAACATTCTCAAAAACAAACTGTTGACATTTCATCTCCGGAGCATTGTAAGAACGGGGTTATGTGTAATGTAAGAATTGTCGATTGTCGGTTAGAGTTGATCGGTGACCTGACAGATTTTAAAACAAATACATCAGGAACTTTCCTGTGTTAATTGTATTTGTAACATACACAGTCGGATTCGTGTGGAAATTCTTTATGTCCTTTCATGGTTGACAAGATCCAAGAATTGTACCCGTTACGTGTTTTTTTTTGTTACACTATATCTACGCGTACTTGAACAAACGACGTTATGATCACATTGAAACGCACGTTTCTATTAAGGTCGTTTCAAAACAACTACGGTACGTGATGTCTATGCACATTGCTCTAACATAAAGAGATTAGCATTTAAATCTGGCAACATACTTGCATGTAAAAGCAGAAAAGATGCAACTTTTACTAGAAATTGTATATATTCATATCAATTCCTAAATATCAACCTCGATGTTTATCGAACTGTAAAAAATTGCGCTTGCTATAACCGCATAGTTTTTCATCGTGCACTCAACCCACATTGTGTTGCGATTTGCAATTTGACACCTTTTTCAAGTTTATTTGACAGAGATGTTGGTGACTCTAATATAAAGTAAACAATACATTATTTTTTGTTTCGTATAGCCTTTTCTCTATTTGTTATAGGCGATACATATGCAAGACCACACGAGTTTATTGAGCGGACGAATATATACGTCCACGCAATAAATGAGTGCTTTTTGATGAGTTAGAAAAACACAAGTGTCTGGTCTTGCTTTTATCACATACCTTCCGTATTTGGAAGAGATCGTTACAAAGATTTTATAAACTTTGATATTTTTTGCAAATACCGGGAATTTTTCAGTTCGCCATGACAAGGGGATTCCCATAAAGAGTAGTTACAGCTAGTAGGTAAATACAACATTCCGTATTGCACATGTGCAATACAGAACGTTGTATGTCATGGTCTGAGAATTGCTTGTATTACTATAACAAGATTTAACAGGTATGTGATAAAAATGTAGTAACACTAGTCAAATCATACGCAAACTACTTTTATTATCACCTCCATTTCACAATTTTGCTTATTTATTGTCCGATTATAGTTTGCCTATGTTACCTGTTATATCACTGACTTTTAATACAAGTTATGCGAGGAGAACCCAGTGTACGTGACGTTGGTGAGCCTCAAACTCATTGTCACGATCTGTACTAATGTTCACTTAGAATGTTCATCATACGTTTTAATGATTTGTAAGACATTGACTCATTTAAGCCACCTGGGTTCTGTAAAGGCTGAACAAACTGTCAAGAGGATAGTATTTTAACAGCTCAGAAGTCGGGAGTAGTACATGTATGTGTTTCACTATTTGGCATGGATAATACTCTGAAAGGTTAGTGAAACTTAGAAACATATTCCATCTTTACAACGATACCAAGAATTGTTTACCGAGAACAGGTCGGATCCTTATCTGTTCAGGACACCTGTTTCAGTTTGCTTCTTTGACACGGTCTAAAAACAAACGATTAATGGCCACGTTTGTACGTGCATTCGGTGACTTCGTGTCTTAAAATAGTAGATGTACGCTCATATTCATATGATATATATTACAGGGAAATATAAATACAAGGAAGGAAATGAAAATTCAAACATTAGTCAACCCGTTTTATTGTCATGTGAACGGATGGAATGTCTTGAGTCATCAGATCCGGGCTATCGGAATGAGGCAAACACTCCAATATACTGTAGATACATTTGTTTAGCTAAGCAACTTTTAAACCCAGATACATAAGGCTAACAATATTCTAGTGTTATACCACTGAAATACATGCCGATGGCATCCAGCACAGCAATCCGCCCGGTACATGTAACATTATACTGACAACGGTGTCACTCCCCTAAATGTTGAATGTTAAGCAGGGAGATCTAATGTCATGCATTTGAACAGCCATTTGCAGTCAAACATTTTCTGATTGAATATGCTGATCTCAAACAGAAACGTGACATATCGTCTCTGAACATTATATATTTTTTATACTCAGTTGATCTTTATAATTAAATCTGATAGATATTACAACCAATTTGTTCACTGTTAATGCATTTTAACATTTTAACATTTTTTTGTAGCTTGATATGTAGTCATTTTGGTGAATGTCTATTTTTAGTGTAGCTTTTGGCCCAAAATGACTCGCATTGTTGATAGGCCGTGAAAAAACAAAAACAAAAAATACCTCTTCCAAAATTTGTAATTTAGTATTGGAAATTGTTTATTCCGGCATTCCTGTCTTTGATAAACCATTTTTGAAAAGAAAATCATTCCTTGCGGGACCTTTATGAGAAATGATAAAGAAGATATAGTCAACAGCTGTGTTATGGGTGTTAGAAATACTCCGCTGGGCAAGACCCATATTGTAAACTAGATGAAAATCTAAATATGTTACCCTGTCTAAATAAAATAAAAATATGGACCGGATTCGAACCTTGACTTTAGACTGCTAAAGTATCGCTCTTACCGATTGAGCTAATTGGTGGATGGTAGCATGTTAGCCCAATCGTTATACAGTTAAATCCAAAACGATAGTAAAGGGGAAGCTACCGCATATAGGTAGAAAAACCATGCATTGGGACAAAGACCCTTGACAATCTCTGCTACGGTGATCAGACCATTAACTTTTCTCATTTCTTTGTTTAATATGGATTTCAAGAACCTGTTATTTTTTTTGTCTTATTTCGTTTTTCAGTTTTGTTTGTAATAGTGCATGCCTGTAAAGCTTTCTGAAAATAGGATTTAAGTTTTAATTGATGATGAATGCTTAACGAACCATCAACACAAAAGAGGTTATCAGGTAAAGAGAAAACAAAAGGAAATCAAATACGTGAAAGGTACAAAAAGGTTAAAGACAACCAGCAACTTCAAAAGTACAAGTAGCTATGGTTAGTTATGTTTTCTTGAACAGACCAACAAGCCAAATGTTGGTACCTGAGTGCACTGTATTTTTCAAAGTTTCTTGTAGTTAACACCAGGATATGATAGTTCCAAATGAGATGTAAAAGTTTGACGAAAGAAAAAATATTATTTTTGATTTCAATTTGGCAATACCTCATTTTTGGACTTAATATTAAATGTTCCCCCAAGTGTGCATTTGGTTATCGTTGGTAAACTAAATAGAAAGTTAATCCTTAAATATCATTACCCTGTGGCTCTAAGTTATTGAGAAGAGTCAATTAAATTGGATCCCTATGACCTTGAATGTCATTTTCGTTCGAAAACTGTGTTTGGCTCCATCTAAGGAGGCTACTTGTTAAGTATCGCGATTCCATGCATTTCATTTCTTCAAAAGAGGCCGTTTTGCAGTTTTGCTATATTTGACCCCTGTGACATTGAAAGAAGGTAAGGGTAATTTTCAATCGAAAATCTGATAGGGCTCCATCCGTGACAGTTACCAGCCAAATATTAAAATTATATACCTTTAGATTATTCAGAAGAAGTCATTTGAAGTGTTTGACATATTTGATCCCAGTGATCTTGAAAGTAGGTTGAGGTCATTTTCATTCTCAAACTTTGTCGGGCACCATCCAAAGAAACTACTAGCCCAATATTTAGATTATATACCTCTCATTTCTTCAGAAGAAATCGTTAAAAGTTGTTGATGCTTTTTTGAACCGTGACCATGAAAGCAGGTCAAGCTCATTTTCATTCTCAAACTTTGTCGGGCTCCATCCCTTCGGGCAGTTGAGCTTAAAGATAAGAAATTAAGAAAAGGTTCTTGTTTTGAGCGTGCAAGTTATTCGGTGGAATATCTACAGTATCTTTTTTGATTATTTTTTTATTTGTTCACGCCCGCCATCATCACACTATCAGATAGTTTAGTTGACGATAATAACCTAAAAGAGGATTATCACGGAACAATTAATAATAACTGAATGTCATATAATAATATCAGCTAAAAGTGCACCATGTTGAGATTCTTAATCAAACCAAAACTAATAAATTATTTTTGTTATATATCGTTTTAGGTACTTCAACTGCCACAACTCAAATTCATTATGTCACGAGGAGGACTCAACCTTAAAGCTACTTCCATTCTTGCGCTGCTGATTTTTGCTGGTGTTATTGTGGTCTACCGGATTTCAGCACAAACGGACAAGGAAGTCGACAGAGGTGTACCGGAAGACACGCTTAGTTTAGAGAAAGATCGGGTTGCGTCAGTCCAGTCAACTCCAACAAAGTGTCAGAATAGTGTTGAACTTAAAAACGTATACAGCCGCGATTCCACAAAATGGACGCTTAATGAACACGTTTGCAAAGAATGTCATGATTTCCCTAAAGCGACATTGAAAACGCAGTTTGGAGATACTCCAATATTTATATATCCAAGTGAAAATGACGTTTGGGTTTCAGGAGTTATTAAAAATACAGGTAAATTCGAGGCCGATAAAACTAACGGAATTGCAGCTTTACTGAAAGCCGATTCAAAAATGAATTTAATAGATATTGGTGCTAATATAGGCGTACATACTTTAGCTATAGCGAAAATGGGTAGGAAAGTGATAGCCGTGGAAGCATTAGACAAAAACGTCCAGCATCTTTGTGCATCCGTCGCCGCAGGAAATCTGCAACGTGACGTCACTATCGTACATAATGCAATATCAGATGGACATACGAGGGTCAAACTTGGAATAGACAAGAATAATATGGGAGGCACATACGTGGATGTGGATTCAAAACACATAAAGGAGCTGAAGGAGGGTCGCGCTCAGGGTAGCTATGGGGAGGTGGACACAATTACTATGGACGACCTCATTGATCTTCCGGCTTTTAAAGATTTTTCTAAGGTCATTGTAAAAATGGATATTGAGGGATTTGAACATAAAGCTGTAGCTAAATCTGACAAGTTCTTCAAAGCTGTAGACGTACAAGGTTTCGTGATGGAATGGGAGTTCCACAGGAAGATGGAGTCAGGGGTCGATATATTAAAACGCATGAAAGACTTAAAATTTGAACCGTTTCGTGTCGAAAATCCTACTGCGCGGCTATCGATCGAATCAAGTGATTCATGGCCATACGATGTTCTTTGGCGTCCTGTGAAATGAATGTGATATATATACTTTGAATATGTTCTCATATTTAAGAACAGGGACAAATTGTAGGATCACAAAATGTAGATGTCAACTGCATATGTTTATCTTGCTCAGTTATCTATTTTGTGCTTCACAGAATTCTTGTAGAATATGTTCATACAAATGTCTATAAGAACGCACAAGCGTATACAATCGTCATACAAGCTACCATGCTCTTTTATTCAAGCTGCCGTGCTCTTTTATTCATATTGAATATCAAATGTTTCTTTTTATCGTTTGTTAAAAATCATTCATTCATTATATCCAATATTATACCTGTGAGAACAGTCGATGGAACATGCATGCATTAGATTATGTCATAGTTTGGAAAAACATACCAAATATCTATATCCTACATACACATAATACACTATGCTATCAGCAACAACGGCTTGATATTATTTACTGAAATAACCTTTTGAATATGTGAAAGTGGCTATTGACGAAGACAAAAATACGTTTCCTGGAAAAAAAACCGTGATAATGTTTCGTTATTATACTGACCGTGGTGTCACTACCAGACAAAGTAAACCTGAGAACAGTTGGTTTCAAGTGTTGAACATTTTGGTTTCATCAATGATATGTTTGTATGGGGTTTTTAATGTCCTCGTGTAAAATTAAAATGTAATTTCTTCTTTTGATTAAGGTTTGATTGCTTATGTTTAACGGCCTATCAACAGCTAGTAAAACGCTTATTATTAGATTGTGTCAACTTTTGTCTCTACATTTTGTTATTTTCATAAAATATCAGTCACCATAGCCACTTTCAATACTTGACGCTTGTCTTTTACCTTGAAGTGTGTTTGATTTTGTCGACTATGTGTTGGCCCTAATGATCTATCCTGTGTTGATGGGCCGTTAAACATGTTATAATAATAATAATAATAATAATAATCAACAGTTAAAGTCATTCTAGGACGTACCACCATGTGCATTGTTAATGCAGGTGTGTGTGTGCAGGAGGCACGGTACGTTGGAGTATTTGCCTTCTTGTAATACCGCGGATCTGACCAACTTTATGGTGCCGTAACCGGGTGTACTCATTGCATTAAGTCACACATTGTCCATGCGTTTGTCCGTACTAGTGTCATAACATGTGCGTGGAATGTTGTGATAATTTGACCTGCACGTGTCGTATTCGTACGCGCACGTCAACACCCTCATTCACTTCACACTATGTTGCCGTGCAGGACGGAGCTCGTCCATCCTTTCAAGATCCCAGGTAAACCTCATTATATTGTATTCATAGTGTATGATGATGTAATTATATAATAATACTTATGATATCATAATGTAGTCATTTCAATCGCATTCGTAAAGTGAAAGTAAACTATATATGTATATTGTACCTGTTAGTGATAGTTTCGTATCTTTCTGTTCTAAGGTTTCTGTGTACATTAAAAGATACGAAGAGCCTTAAACAATCTACATAGTTGTTGTTTCCAAGTCTAAGGGCCAACAGAGGGTCACATTGCTATCTCACTGAAATACCATGCCGAAGGCACCGCACCTAGCACAGCATTCCACCTGGTCACATTATACTGACAACGGGTGAACCAGTTGTTGCTATTATCCTAAATCCCGAACGTTAAGCAGGGAATAAAAACTTCCATTTTTAAGGACGTTTGTATGTCTAGGCCTTGGAACAGATTGGTTTGGTTTGGTCTAATTATGTTTAATGTCCTATTAGACATTTCTCATTTTGAGGCAGACCTAGCACGGAGTCAGAGACGGACACTGAGAGTAGTAAATTCAGGGAACATCTCAAAATCTTTCTTCATTTCATCTGTATTAAGGAGGCTCCACCCTTTCGCAAGTAACCAGCAGAATTCAATGAAAGTTTCACATAATAGTTATGTCACTATGTAGAGATGATTTTATGAAAATATAAGGATTCTGATAAACTGGTTTTTTTTTATGAAAAATACCGAAAAAACCCACATAGTTTCATACAAAAAGAGTGAAAATTTGAACCAAACATTTTACATTTTACAATAATTTTGATTGCGATGAGAGTTGTCTACCTTGAAAAAAATCGGAACTTTTGCAGAGGGATAGAATTTATACAATGACAGCTATTTTCTTTACTATACCAAAAACGACGGAAATAAATTAAATTACTATATCAAATTGTCAATTTACAGTTCTTTTACGGAATAATATTTCTCTCAATCATGTACACGTTGGACATCATTCCATAGGCCGCTTATGCATGGTATATTTATATATCAGGTACATATGTTATCATAGGCTATCGCATGGTATGCCGTTATCACGTGCACGCACATGCACTTCGTTTTATAGGGATTTTGATATTTTACAAACCACTATTTGTGAAATGATTTATTTGACAGAGCGTAACTCGCTCGACAACAAAACTCATTGCGACTCCGAGCTTGTACAGGTGAGGTCGGTAAACAAAACACATCAGTCTGCATTCCATGCGCCTCATATACGACCTTCTTAAAGTCGTCTGATGTTACATGTATGTCAGTGTCTTCCTGTGAGTTAATCAATGTCTTTGTATCATCAGCTTTATTTCTGAAGTACGTGTGATTA